ATGCTTTGTTGTTATGACATCTGTATACAAATCTGTGAGATCTATCACACACGGTTTGTCATAACAGTGAAAAATAATGAGAGAACATGTGGATACAAAATGCTTGATTATCACTAGAACATTTGTTTTTTATGTTCCCTCAGAAAATAAACAGAAACTGAGAGCCAAACACAACAAACATAAAAAAAAATTAAAAATGATGTGCTGAAAATTATAGTTAGGGAATAATGTGAGAAACAAAATCACTCGGTTACCCTGGTGACAATCAAGGTATGCACAAATGGATTTGAAGTAATCATCTTTTACAGAGTGGTTAGGTCTTTTCATATGAGAAGGGACATGTTTTTGAGACGCCTTTGCCTCACAGCAGGTCTCAGACACATTAAGTGTGAATGAGTACCAAAGATAGACATGGAGCCAGTTAGATATATATATACATATATATATATATATTTTTTTAAAAGATTGCCTAAACATTTTTTCACCAGCAAAAACAAGAAGCTTTTTTTAGAGGGCATCTTTTGAAAGGTTGAAAAGAGATGGGGCCCTATTGTTAATATTTAGTGAGCAATATGTCGCTTTGGTTCTTTTGAATTGCTAAAGTGTACTTTTATTTTCCAAAGGCAGAGATCTGTCATTCATTGATCAGTCATCTGAGATACATGTTTTTATTTTACAACATTATTTACAGAAAAGCCCTCTGTCATAAGAAATAAATACATGTCTGATTAAAGTCCAATGTAGGTTTGAACTTTAAAAGGTTACAATTCCACAATCACACAAAGAAGATGTCCTCTGCCAACCCCAGGCCCTCACAAAAGAGAAGGAGATGTCTCCTTCAAGTCTAAAGAGGCAAACCTGTCCAAGCACAGGAGTGGTATTACGTGGACCTTACTTATCTCTTCCCAGATTAAGTCCCAATTGTTTGCCGTGAACAAAGGCAGCCAGTAAGACAACCAGCCCCCCAAGGGCCAGATGGTCAGTGTTCAGATCCCCCTGACCCCTCCAGCCCTTGCACTCTCTGACAGGGCTTCACGTGCTCTTGGCGAGACAGGCCACCCAGCAAAGTCACAATCCACACACCTCGTACGGAGCCTGCAGTCACATGATACTGTACTAACTTAATCAAAGAGATGTTTCTCTTTAATAGATATCATTTTCCAGAGGATTTGACATTGCAGCAGGCAATTCGATTTGTCTAATGCTTAAAACCCGCAAATAATGCAAACAAATCTGACTTTTGGGCAATATCTATATAGAGCTTATTCAAAAAATTGTTCAATGTAAGTGTGTTGTATTTACTTGCTATAATAAAATGCTTTTCCGTAAAAATGTTTCAGAGCTGCATTACAGACAAAACAGTATCCATATCACCAGTGTCTCTTTGCATCTGGTGAGTTAAACATCTGGCAATGTGTATGCAAATGTCATTAGCACTAATGACATTTTTAAAGCAGGCCTTACAGGAGGGGGTGGAGGGGCAGTGAGGAGGAATGCAATCTTTAGGACATGAAACATGAGGACGGGCAGCTTCGACACAGTCAAGACAGACTGGTTTGCCTGCAATTACAATGACAAACCACCAAATACATCTCCTGGTCACTCTTATCTGATAAGACGCTATCTGAGCAGCTAAAGTCTGTTTCAACACTGAGCCTTAGGCAACTGGAACGGTATTTAACAGACATGTAAATTGCTGGCCCGGTTATATAGGCTGGGCTACATGATGTAACCATGATTAATCAGCAGGGGTGACATTTAGGACGATGAATTTAATGTATTATTTTCTTTATTTTCTTTTTTAAGGGAGCACAGACTAATTGACAACATTTATTTTAAGATAAATGATCTGTCTGCTGATCTAATACCAGGTTTCGTTGCGTTTTTTTTCTTTTAAAGATATCAATAAAGTTCTACACTGACAGACAGATTAAAATGTAACCCCCCCCCCCCCCCCCAAAATACTGATAAAACACAGGTGAAAGTCGGCTACAAACTTTATCTCAGTAGGCAAATACCATAATTCATGCAGAAAAAAACAAAAAACAATATGGCAAACTGGTTAAATTAGTTAGCCTATGTGCAGTATTATTGAGCATTAAAACATATGCTTTCTGACAGACGTGCTTATAAATGGATTATAGCCCAGCGTATAGTCTCTTGCCATACTTTAATTACCGCTTTCTATAAATAACCCTGCTGTTTAGCAGTAGGCTATGTTTACCGCTTTATGTGATTCACAAGCAAAACAAAGTTTAAGCATCTTTTCTCGCCTCGCTGACTGACCGATGATCAAGGCTGCACAAGAAGACCATCCTGCGAGAAGAGTTAACCCTGTTTGTTATCAACGTGACACGTGAATTCACGCAATGTGACGGTTCCGTAAAGCAGCAACAAAGCATGCCTACCTTTATCCACGCGGTATTAAGTCTGTGTATTGTAATTTTGCCCTCCACGCTTCCAGAAAATACCGCTGCTGCTGCTGCCGCCGCCGCCGCTGCTGCTGCTGCTGCCGCCGTCCTTTCAGCTCCGCCACAGCTGATCTGCGCACGGCCAGCGAGCCGCCAAGTGACGTCACGGCATAACTGTAAGCCTACGTACCGTTTGGCTCAGTACAGGAAGGGATACAAAGTTCTGTTCAGCTTGTTGCTCCAATTGCAGGACAAAAAAACAACAACATAGGAAATATACAAAAGTTATACATGACATCGTAAAGCTAACTAACTAGCCCTTAGAAATGTTTAGACTACGTTTTTTTTTTTTTTTTTAAGAAAGTAAAGAGAAACGAAATGCAATTCTCTCGTTGTCGTCGTCACATAAAATAACAACAAAACAATAGACCCGCTCACGATAATAGATAGAAAAGACAGGGATGGATAACATTTGTAGATCAAGATATGTAGACAGTAGTCTAAATATGAATTAATAAGTAGGAAGGTAAATAATATACAATGATAAACAAAAAATAGACAAATACAAATAAAGCAAAGCGTAGGCTATAATACAAGACTACTATTTAACAGCTGTCTATTTTTCATTAAAGCTGCAGCTGTAGTCCTGTACCCCTCTAAAAGTATACTTTATGTAGGCTCCATTAACAGTCTATGATACAGAAAGTCTGCTACAGACTACAAACCAGCTCCCTCTTTTGGTAGAAATAGGCTACATCACTCATGCAATATTGTACATCCCCCTAAAGAGATCAACACTAAAAAAGGTTGCTTGTCTTATGCCAAACTAAAGCTCAAACCTGTCGTCTTCTGAAAACAAGTTAACCAAGACTGTAAGTTTTCATTCAGCTGCAATTTCAATCAAATTAATCATCGGCCTCAAGTTCCTGAACACGATGGCTTTTCCACGGTAAAAGTTGTACAACAGCACCCTCTATTGGTGAGCAGTTAGAGAGAGAGCAGAAATCACTTTTTAAAGTATAATAATTCAAGTAATAGTTATATAAAAGGTTATAAAAGTATTTCTATTATTGTTTTATGAGGATGCAATTGACATTTTCTTTGCTGCATTAAGCAGATGCCTCAAAGTATTTGATCATTCATTGAACCATACTGCATCAACCATACAGTGTATACTGTCAGACAGAGGGAAAAGATGAAAAGGACAGTTTTTCAGTAATAAAATAGACTTTAAAGTTTCTTTGAGGTGATACAAGCTTTAAACTTTTGAATCTAATCTTTTTTTTTATACCCAACCCTGAGGGAAGAAATTGCAAACCGGGAGCCCTAATGTGATAAATCTCTGTGACCTGAGGATTAACTCTGAATCACTGAAGTAAGCTATAAACTTAGAAAGATTAACTGCCTATGGTGACGACCCTTACAAAACATATCTATTGCTGTAGACCTTGATGGATATTTTTGGAACTAAAGCAATGGGACCTTACTGGAGATCATCTTTAAATTAACGGTATTTTACTACTGAAGTAATTTACACAAATTTCAGGGGTATGCTTTGATTTAATATTATTCACAGTAACAGTCACTATTGTACAATTTGGAGGGCAGTTTTTTTGGTTGCTCTGAAGAAGAATAAAAAAAAAACCAGAAGGAACAGAAAGAAAATTAAATCACTGCCAAAATCACAAGTAGGCTTCACCAAAAAGATTGCTCTGTCAGGGAAGTCCCAAATAAAAGATAATTTTATAGAGATCTAATATAGGCCTATCCAATGAAAACTAAATCATAAAAGAAAGATCAGCCATTCTAGAAACAGTAACGACGGCAGACATTGTCACTGGAACAATTACAGATAAAAAAAAAAAAAAAGCAATGCTAGCAAGTAAAGCTAGCCTCAGAGGAAGATATGTCTCTAATTTAATACTTGTTCTGCAGTCCATTGCAGTAATATGACACAGCCCAATGTTGCGCAGTCTTGATCAAATTAGGGATGGTAAGATCAGCTTTGAAGCTAACTGATCCTGAAATCAATTCAATATACTGAATAATAAGTCACACAACATGGCTTTTTTTTTTTAAATGAAAACATAGCCCATGATGCCCCTGGTAATTATTGACCAGGAACTATAATTCGACCAGTTGTGGAGAAACGAGTACACCAGAATACAATAGAATAGTATAGCCTATTTCCAAAAATAGACACATTTGTAACCTTAGAGCATACTTTATATGACTGAATATATGATAGTGTAGCATATAACCAAGGATGGGTGTCTTTTATGAATATTTTCAACCTTGGACAGAATTGAATATTATAAGATAGAAGATAAAACATTGTGTTAGGCTATTTATAAAACATTAAGAAGCAATTGAAAAATTCACATATTAGACATCAAATTAGTAGAATAACATTTAACGTTTTCTTAAAACTGATTTTTTTTTTTTAAAACCTCTAAAGAATAGCTTTAAAACGACAATTTACCCTATCCTTTGTCAGATTTGCAAACAGCAACATGTTGCCCATGAACAGTATCCGAACTCTTTTGAATGCGCCTCGGTGTGTGGCGCATGCGCAGTGCTTGACATTTGAAGTTGCTACTCCGGGGTGTTTGAACAGGAAGGCGGACATGTTGGTCAGGCTTGTGGGAGAAAATCGGGCATCGTATGCTGTTTTTTTCTTCTTCTTCTTCTTCTCGAAAACGAACTTATATCTAAACACGGTTACAACGTCGTCGTTTCGAGAGAGTGTTTCCGTCCGGACGACAAACTACCGACAGTCATTGACAACGCACCGGATGTAGCGGAGGGACCGCCGTTAATCGTTGTAACCAGCCCCGTGTTTAAAACTCATTTGGAAGAAGCAGAAGTTTTTTTTTTTTTTTTACCCCCACCACTTCTACTTTTGAGCTGTCAGTTTCTATTGTCGTTTTGCTGCAAGGGCCTGACACAGATATGGGAATGGACCTGGACTAACCCCCCCCCCCCCCCCTCAAATGGTGCTTTTCCAGCAGACATTACATATGTTTTAATTGCCTTTTTGTTTGGATGCAAAAACATTTTTAAGCCCTTCTCCTCGGTGGCATCCTGTGGAGGCTGACTAATCTTTCGCCTCATTTATCTTTTGCCACTGAAGTTATTCGCCACACACACACACACTGGGAAAACCTCTTTCGACTCTGAAAATGTGGCTTTTGTACATTCAACGCAACCTTAAACGATTCATCGTCTGTGCGAGCTCCAGGAGAACGATGTGTTTTCTTTGAAGAGAGAGCGGCGGAAAAGTTCACACGGAAGAAAAGGAACATTTTGGCTAGCTAGCTACCTTAGCTGGCTGCTGAAGCTAGCTAGCCAGCCTTCTGTCTCAGCAGGGAGCTGTGTGTTTTTTTGTTTTTTGTTTTTTTTTGTCCATAACCCGACGCCGAGGATGAGTTTAACAGCAAAAATGTCCACTGGGGAAAGCATGGAGGCTCGGTTTGAAAAAATCGATGCCATGTTGAAGGACCCAAAGTCAGAAGTAAACACGGATTGTCTGCTGGTAAGTTTGTAGCCTAACTAGCTGGCGAGGCAGCTAAGCTAAAGCAAAGCCAATCATTCGGGGTCAGTCTACTCCTTGGAGCAGAAATTATTTCCGAGTCCAACAAGTCGTCTCACTTCGTCCACTGAAGGAATGCCCTGATGTGGTTGTCCGACAGGCCATGTCGTCTCACACACTGGATCAAGTTCAAACACTTGTATGAGTTACTACATTTATGTGTTGAGGATATCGGGATAAAAGAAACGATTTTTTTTTCCTGCAGTGTAATGCTTTATGAACTCCTCTGCCACAAACAATATCTGAGAGCTGCAGGGTTGATGTTTAACTGCGATTTACTGTCAAGCACTGATAACGTTGCCTCGATGTGGAGTCTCATTTAAACGCATTTGGTGGCTGAAATACTCTTTGACAGATGGCAACCGTGTCTCCACATTTAGGTCATATTCGGTTAGTTAAGAAGACCTCTCTACTATAACAACTTATATTCGTTTGTGCTTTTTTTTATATATATATAATAAGAAGCGAGTGGTTAGGTGTGCTGTTTAGTCTAAATTCGTGTGATCTAATCTTCATTTGAAGTGATAGGCTGCCCGCATGCCTGTTGTAACCTGCAGGCCTCCAGCAGCTGTGTCAGTACACCTGTTGGCAGAAGTTTGCCCTTGCTTGCTTCCTGTCCGGGCTCATGAAGTGACTCTCCTGTCTTTGGAAAAGAAGGCGGCTGCTGCCACGTGCTAAAACCTAAAGCAACACCTTCATAGGTTTTCATTACGTGCTGCAGTCCCGGGAACTGAGTCACCATGGAGTGGATTGCCAAAGGGGATGTTGTTGTGTCAAGTGTTTGTTGATATCTGGAGCCTCTCAGCGAGGGTGACAGTGGCACTGAGTGTTGTCACAAGGATTTGGCTCTTTGTGACTCATGGGAGTCTTTGCCCTGCATATTGTGATTGAAAACCCGAAACGTAATGCTTTGAATTTCCAGGGAGTGACTATGGCACCTTTTTTCATTTGCATACGGAAGTAGTTTTTATTGTATATTTTTTTGGGGTAGCTCTAGTAAGGACAGAATAAGTCTGTTTGTTAGCAATACAACACAAGAATCAGTAGCATCATGTATCCCTGTCAATAAAATTAATCTATTATTTACTAGTATACTATTATTTTTGAACGTCCCATAAAACAAACTGGTTTCAGACACATTTTCATGTCGTTAAAAACAACAACAGTGAAGTTGTGCGAGTAGCACAGTCAAATTTGTATTTATCAAAGCTAATACTGATAGTTCCTTTCTACATAATATGCATATTAAAGGCAGTATAAGTTGCAAACTTGGCTAAAGCACACCAAGCTGTTTTGGGAAGGGGCCTTGTCCCAATATCCCACCCACACACACTGCTTGTTTAGTGTTTGAATAGCTTGCTCTAGATAGCCTACTTTCCAAAAGAAAACATGCTTATTCTTTGTGACCTCCCATCCTGTTGCAGAAAGAGGCAATTAAACTCACCTAAAAAAGTGCACACTCTCTGCATTTTTAATGGCAAAAAGCTGTGGGGACGGTTCCTGCTGGCAGCCTCACACACAAGGGTGTTGTTTCTCTTTTTTCCCCCCCTTTCTGCAATCTCGCCTGATCAATGAATGGAGGCCTTTAGCTGAGGCTCTCTCTGCGACCATGCAACTCCACCCACAGCTTAATAAAATTCCATGCTAATCAAATAACCTCTTGTCTTTGACTGGCCTGGAGTTCCCTGTGTCCCAAAGCCATTCTGCATGTCTGTAGAGAGTTGAAGCCATGCAGGCAGCTCTGAGGTAGCTGGGTGTGGGCTCTGCTGCTGCTACCCATAAACCAAAATTATGTGGACTGAAGACTCATGTTTCTGAAGGCCGTGAATCAGGACATTTAACTCATAAAGCAGCCAACATGCTTGGCTATGAGTAATAGGTTCCATCAGAATGTACAATGCGGGCCTTTTACTAGCCATGTTTCCATACCTGTGTCTCGAGCTGGCACTACTTTAGCACTGTTGGGCTTGTACATTTTTCCCATAGAAGTCTGGTCTGGGTTGTGTGATGATGACATTTGGCATGCACCTTAACACTCAGCTCCAGGCTGGCCTGTTGAGCACAGTACCCTGTCATCCTTATCTCCCCCCTTTTAAATAAATCCTGCTGTGAGAGAAGAGCACCTTATCTGGATGAGCTGCCCCCTCCCTAATCACTGTGCTCCAGGCAGGCTTCTAAGAGCTAATGTGAAGAGACAGAATTCCTCACATTGTGATGTGAAAGCTCACTGACATTAAGTGTCTGAACATTGCCTTTGTGTGTATTTTATTTTGGTAACATTCAATATCTTGAAACAGATGCTATCATCAAGTGGTTTGTTCTCACACTTTAGGTGGAGGTTTTAAAAGTTAACGATGACAGAAAAAGGGGGTTATCAATGTGTTGAATAGTGTTTTTTTTTGTGGCACTTCCTTTGGTCCTTCAATGGAGTGTCATTTATTTAAAACATAGTATTAAAACAAGTATTTGTTTGATACGTTGGTCAAACATGTTTTGCAAAGGCTTTGCCCCTGTTTGATTTATTAAGGCCTTGCAGTCTTTGTTCTAACTTTGACACGTGTGCTGCTTAAGCTTGTCTAACTTTTGATTTGCCTGTCATCTGTTATTTTGACTCTCAATCTATAATATTAGGTATTAAAAGAAAAAAGCAAAACACAGCTAGACCAGTCTCAAATACAACGATTAATCATGTAAATGCTGCATGTACACATCATGTTGGATGCTTATATTCAGAGCTGTTTAGGATGTCAGGCAAAATAAGCAGTTTTTTATATTGACATTTCCTTCGACACTGACAGCAATATTTATGTTGCGTATAAAGGGAGGTGCTTATAACTTATGTCATAACTAGTCAGTAGGACTGCCTGGCTTATACAAATTGGAACCAAAGATGCTAATGTTGATATGTTTTTTGTGTGTTCACTTCCAATTATTGTCCGGCCGACAGACAAAATGTGGACTGTTTTCCACATCAGGCTAAATTTAGCCACATAATGCACTACACGTCCTTAACATATGCCTAAACCAATGAGACTTGCAACCGTAGAATGATCAGTAGAGCACCTTTTTTTTGACGTGCTTCTTAATTACCTTGCCATAATCTACTTGGGCCCATCCTGGGTAACATCCTGAGTAAAGTCAGTCCTTGTTTAGTCTTTGTAGAATGCCTGCACTAGTACTATCAACCTTTGCCTTGAATGGACAAACCTTAGCTGTCAGATGTAGTCCTAGCTGATAATGCATCTGTAGTCTGTATTTGGTTCTGCACTTGACAGATAAGAATGATTGTCAGGCCAGAGTTATGTATTCAGACTAAATAAGATAAAATCAAACATTTCAACCTCATTCATTTGGCACAATGCACGAGGAAGAGTATTAAAGACGAGACTGGTTATAATCTATTTTCAAGATGCAAGTTTCACACTTTGTAGATTGGAATTGACAACACATTTGTTGTGAACATTTAATAAGTAAGATTGAGTTTCAGCCTGTGCTGGTGTATGAATTCACCTGCTTTGTTCATAATATACATTGAAAACAAAGAGAACAGACCATCAACGCTTCATAGAATAGAATAGCTTTATTTGTCATTGTACAAGTACAACGAAATTCGATCAGTGCAACGAAAACCTTTATAAAGTGCTAGAAATAAGATACAATACAAATACAAGAAACATCAAGTTTTAGATAAAATAGCATTTATATTAAATGATCTATATGCAACTTTACATGTATAAATAGTTTTTTATCACCCATTAATAAGCGAACGGTTAACTGATGTGAAAAAGTAGATGTTCACTGTCTGTCTGTGTTACCTGTATAAAAAGTTTCTGCGAAAGCTCCAGGAAGTGACATTTTATGCACGTTCTCATCGTACTCCTCATTCCGCTCTGCTTACAGAGATCAACAGTACAAACTCATCACACACTCCCGCTCTCAGCCAGTGCCTGCCGAGACTGTCGTTTGTGTATGACCACTTACCTCCTCTGTAAACATTATGTCGGTAAATATCCAGTGTTTCGCAACTGATGATTGTGCTTGTTTGTGTACGTACGAGCACGAGAGGGAGAGCGAGCAACAGGTTACTGGTGCAGTTCACCTAACGGCCATGCGGTATCACTACGAACGCAGTATTTTTGAAAGTTACATATAGCCCCTTTAAAATCAACTTAATCATAAATCGGGCATGAACATGCAAAAATATGTTTAGTGTTTCTGACATATCTAGCCATGTTGTTGTCCTATGGTAATGCAATTTCTGGGATATACTAGAATCTTGGATGCAGTATCCATGGATGCACCATCTTTCTTTGCATAATTGTCCTTCCCCGCTCTTCTACTTAATACCCTGCTAGGCTTAAATGCAGAAGCTTTGAGAAGGATTAAAAGTGACAAAAATGTCATCTTTTTGGTATTATCTACTCAAGGTGTGTTTCAATGCTCTGCAAGTTGACTTTCAGTGCAGTCTGGAGGCCATAAAATGTATTTATATAACTTTTGGTATGCTTTGGAGACTGGATGACAACTATAGAATGTATGTGTAATATGTCGTTGAAAGTGTACAGAAACAACTACTCAGGTAGTTCCTTTCAGTTGTAAGTTACATCTCCTTGAGCTGAAAACATGTATCTGTTATGGTTTTGTGTTTGATCCATCCCTTTTGTCATAAAGGTCCAGGCTGGACCGGGGTAAACTGCTCTCCTCAGCTATTCAGCAACAACAATTGGTCGAGCTATTTGTAGCTCTGCATTCCCTGAACTGGCTGATTATGTGCAGGAATGCAAACGATCCACTCTTTTAATAATGGTGCATTTTTTTGCCTTTTGATTTACCCATTGAACTTTACATCCTCCTGCTTTCCTTTCTTCTGCAATTCTCGTTAGCTTGTCCCACTTTGAAAGATCTCTGCGACCCCTATCTGGTGAAGATGGTTGAAGTGAACT